TGTTCTTTTTATGAAATGCTGTTAGTTTTATAGCAGATCCAACAGGACTCATACCTTCCCGAAATGTTGTCTTGTCTGTACATAGAATATTATTTCCAGTCTTGGGGACCATCAAGATGTTTTCTGTCAAATGTGAGACAAGCCTGTGTGGTTTTCACCTTGGAACTATTTTTGCCCAGTCTTGTAGATCATGGTGTGATTGGTTGCTTTTTGAGATTTTCTTTTTTTAGACTACTTTACTTTGTCAGACAGGTTCTATGTAAATGATTTTTTGATTCACTGGGTCTGGTTGTAGTTAGGCCTGTGTTATGTGTTGCTGTGTGGCATCCAGAGGTGTGGACCCAATATGAACTGAACCTGACAGCAGCTTTATTGCTGAATATGCAGGATACAAGGAACTTAAACTGAACACACCGGGGAACACAGGTGAACTAAATCAGGATAACGAGCAAAACTCAACACAACACACATAGGACGAGAGGCAGGAAACAAGCTCCAGACACACAAACTTGATCCAGGGAAGAAAATAAACAAATGGAGACAAGACTGAGGGAATCGGCACTAAAACGACTGGACACGGAGAAACCAGACAGACAAGGGGACACGACTGGAGAAACAGACAGGGACCATGTGAAATAAAAAAACAGGTGATGAAGTAAACAGGAAACAGAAATGCAGAGTAGACACAGACAAAAGTAAACAAATACAGAGACGGAGACTGGACACAAACAGACAGAGAAACAACCAAGGAAACAAGACTAAGACAGAGTGGACAAAAAAGGGAACTGACTCAGCCAAAAAAGAGACTTAAAAACTAGAATTATAAGCACTGGGTAGAAAAATACTAAACACCAAAGCACTAGGCAAATAAAAAGTTGTCATTATAAGTAATAATCACATATAAATCCAGAAGCAAATCAAAAACTCACAAAACTCAAAACACACAGATTCTAACTGTCTACGTGTAGCTCTTGAAATAATTGAATTCACCTTTTCAAAACATAAAGTTAATCACAGTTCATTCATGATGTAATGAGAGGGGCAGACCTCTTCATCACATAGGGTCAGGTTGGTTTGGATAGCTTTTCCCCCTTAATAAATCAAATCATCATTTAAAAACTGCATTTTGTATTTACAGGGGTTGTGTTTGTCTATTATTAAAAATTCATTGATCTTAAATTTAAGTGTGACAAATGTGCATTTAAAAAAATACAGAAAGAAGGAAAATAAAAGATGAAGTGGGCAGTTTTCACAGTCTGAGCCCTCTGTGGGTCTCTCATATTTGAACCTTCTGAATGAGAGTGGAAAAACTGCTGTGTTTTCTGCTTTGTAAACAGACACTGCTTCAGCCTGAGCTGTGGATTTATTTTCATTCCCAGTTGCTTCTGCCATTAATGAATAATTTAGTCTCAGATAAGTCTTAAAGTCTGTTATGCTACAATAAAGGGCCTTTAAAATTTGCAATGCGTTTTTTCTTCATTGATTAAATGGCCTGACCAGTTCCACAGCCAAGTGGTGATATATGCTTACTATCTAAGGCACCACTGAAATTGTGAATCTTGCATCTCCAGTGACGTTAATAGCGAGGAAACACTAATACGAGCAATACAGCTGGACAAACATTTTCACAAGCCGTCCATACTCCAGCTGTTATAGCAGCTTTCATTCCTGCTGCCTTTTGGCCTGCTCCTGCCCCCAGAGAGAAGTAAATCTACAAACTATCATGACTGAATTGCATCTCATTGATCAGCTTTCTTTTAAACTGACAGTGGTTTATTCACCCTAAAGAAAACAGATAAATACTGCTAAATGATAAAGTCATGGTTTTTTTAGATGATCCATGAACGCTTGACTCACACGCCAAAAGCACCGGTCATTTTTTCCAAGGTTTGTATATATAACACAGCCCAAGGTTTTGGATATAAGAAAAGATGGGTTGAGCATATTTGTCCAAGTATGTGTTCAAGGTCAGTTTTCAAGTAAATAAGATGGCTGAATGAAAGGCAGGCATTTTTAAAACCAGCAAACACTCTCAAGCTCTCAAAAATCTCAAAGGATAAACAGAAAAGGACTGAATAAAGCAGATAAACACGAAAGCAACTATAAAGTCACATTTTTAAAAAAATTAGGTGATGACATCTAAGTACTGAGACACATAAAAAAAACACATTTTATTTTACAATATTTCTGAGATTATTTCAAGATGGAGTGATATTTTAGTCATGCTGGCATCTAAGGCCCCAATCACAGAGGCCTACAGATCAGTCTGTGACCATCTAATAGGGAAAAATGCATGTATTGTGCAACCAGTTGGCAAGCAGCTGGTGGGAGTTGCTAGTGTTAATTTGATTACAATGCTATACCAAAAACCTTATTTTGATTGCTTTCACTAGCAGTTTGCTGTGGTTACGGCAGTTTGGGTGTAAGATGGCAGCTTGTCTGTAAACACAAACTGCTTGCCAAGTGGTTGTGAAACTGTAATTGTGTTGCAAATTGGAAACGGACACCATTCGCCTTCAAAGTCAAAGCTACACCTGTTGCAATGTGTTGGCTTCAGCGCTGACGTGGAACTTTTACTCTGGAGGTGAACGTTCTACATTTCTGGTTTCCACCACACTTTTTCAAATTTCACTACCATTTAGAGAGTAAATAGTGAGTGTTTGCAGACAAGTCAGCATCTTTCATGCAAACCACAGGTAACCACAATTATCTGCTAGCAACCAAAGCAATCACAACAAGGTTTTTGATAGAGCACCAATGACTTTGTTTGGGTTTTTTAAAAAAGCATATCCTGTGTTATCCTCTTAATTTTCATTTACTCCAATATGAGGCTCAGTGGATTGCATGGATGTAATGAACATTTAGTCTCCCTAGTTATAAATGGGGGAAGAAAAAAAAGTTCTTGAGGAAATGGTGTGCGGACAGATTTGTTTGCTTTCACTGCCAGCGCTGCTGGCTTACTGATTTGCTCTGCAGGAAGAAATGAGCAAATAATAAAACAGGCGATTTAAAAAGAACAGGCTGTGTTTACAGGTCCAAAGGCTGATTGCTGTATGTAGCTGAAGTAAAAAGATGAGAACTGCCTTATTTTTTTTAAATGTTATTTTAGTATAATTTTAAAACTCTTTTATGCAATATCAAAATTAGCGACTTTTGATCAGTTTCCACCATCACAGTGTCTTAAAGCATGTTCAATCATCCAGGTAAGTAAATCCCAAAAGGTTGATTCTGTTCACCTGGTCGTTGCATTTTCAGTGTGAGAAATGTTTCGTCACTCATCCAGGTGACTTCTTCAGTTTCAGCTGACTGAAGGTTTCCCCAACCTTATAAACAGTACACGGCACAATGAAACTGATAATTTGCATATTAATGATCAAGGAGCTGACCTCACAGCCTCACACAGTTCAGTCAGGGGGCTATTTTCAGTTATTGTGCAAATGTAATGTTTAAAAGGTTATAAGTTAAAAGTAGTTAGAAATATCACATAGCAGAGTAGCCACATGTGATTAAATTTTTTACAACTATTAGTAATGCTGATGAATCTATGGTTCATATGCAGTCAGTTTTAAAATGAGGTTCAAATATGTTTTGCAGCTCCACACAGAACTTGTTGGGCAAAAGTTACTCAATAATTGTTCTTTTGATAGTAACGGTTGTTGACCCCAGGATATGTCTCTACACTCCTTACATGGAATGACACAAAATTTTGTAGACCCTTTATGGCTTATTGTCACATTTGTAATGCCTCTGGCTGAATGTCATGAAGTGTACTTTAGAGGTGATCCCTTTTGCTTCATCTAGGTCAGACTTTTGATCAAAACCGATGAGATTCACATCAAACACGGGCAATGATGTCTTGAGCTTTTCACTGAAGTTAATGCATGTTGCATGCTAACAGTACGTACTCAGAACCCATAGTTCACTTCATAAATCCACTACAGACTCACATGCATAATTTGTGACTCTCCATAGGGTAGTTTTGTCTTAATTCAAACTGCTAATTGTGTACTTATTGGAAATGATGATGATAACAACACACTAGCTGCTGCATTTAGCAAACATTTAACACTTGTCAAGCTACTGACCAAACTCGTTAGATATTCAGTGTAGAAGGTTAGGTTTGTGTGCATAAACTTTAAACAGCAGCACTTCAAGCCCTTATAGAAATCTTCTTCTGTCAGTCTTGATGCATAAACATAGTAAACATTATATTGTTTGCGTGGGTGCTCTGCAGGTACTCTGGCTTCCTCCCACAGTCCAAAGACATGCAGTTAGTGGAATTCGGTTAATTGATAACTCTAAAGTTGTGAATGTGAGTGCGAATGGTTGTCTGTCTTTATGTGTTAGCCCTGCGACAGACCAGCAACCTGTCCAGGTGGTACCCTGCCTCTTGCCCTAAGACAGCTGGGATAGGCTCCAGCCCCGCTGCGACCCTCAAAAGGATAAGAATGGAAGAGAATGGATGGATGAATCTGTAAGCACTGTCATTTTGTGCTAAGCATTTCAGTTAAAGCATTGCACTGTCATTTGTCTAAAATTTCATAAAAGTATGCCCTGTGAAGCTTGACTCACTAAATAACTGTCAGAAAAAAAAAACCATACTGGAGTGTTTATTGAACCTTCTGACAAAAAAGAAAGAAATGAGATATCAGTTTGCATATGTGACTTTTAATTTCAGTATCAGTTTTACTGCATCTGGCGTTTGTGCAATCTATTGCCCAAAAATGTAATGTGCAATTAATTTTAAGTTTTGTTGATGATGATTTAGAGGTCTCAAAACACTGACATAAACTCCTGTATCAAATATAATATGTTTGGCATTAGAGCTAAGGAACTTGGGAAAACAGATGTGCACTTATGAACCTGATTAAACTGATCAAACAATAGGCATGTATGTGAAGACAAGCTGAACTTAAGTTGCTGATGATGCATTTGCACAGTGTCAACCAGAGTCATGCATGCATTAACAGCTCTGTTTTGTGAATGTGTATATTCTCCAGGGCTTCATGAAAATGAGGACATACGCGTGATGATGGCAGGTTCCAGCATGCTGAAAGTTCGGTCTACAAGTTGGCAAAGGAACCGAAGCATGCGGCTGCTGGAGGACGGACTCACCGTGTGGTGCGAGTCCTCCCGCAAAGGCAAAGCCCAGCAGACATGTAAGTTTGTCTGAAATCCAGCTTTATGGTCAGAGTACTCTGTAAGGAGAGCTCAGTGTGTGGCGGGGTGGGGGGCTGGCTTGAGCAGACATCATGACCTAATGAAGAGGAGAAGTGAGCTAGTTATGAATAGGAGTTGAGGAGGAAAAGGAGCTTTGATTGTGAGCATGAGTGAACTAATACGATAAATAGAAAGGAAACTTAAGTAATGGAAGAGTATACGTGAGAACAGCGCAAACTGAATTATATTTAAAGCAAGCAATGTAAGCGTCCCGCCATTAGTCCAATAGAAACAGAGATGTGATTCAGTGCGCTCATTCAGCCTGCACATTGTTTGGGGTTGTTGAGCTGCTTTATCTTGGCTCTGTCTTCTGCCCTCTCCCCTACTTTGCCCATTTAAAGACAGTTCTAGTTTCTCTGGTAACTGAGGAGGGTAATCATGTGATCTGTAGTGGTTATGACTTACCAATTCAAGCTTCCTAATATACATTTAATAGTTTTACTGACACTTAGACCTCCGACAGAAATGGGCATGAGCTCTTTGATGGGATCAGTTTATAATTTACCAGCGCATAAAACTGGATTTAGCTTCTGAGACTGAAAAGTAGAGCCAGCGCAGAAATTTCTTAAATGTGCATTTATTCCTTTAGTTTCAGAAAGCATTAAGATTATTTGAAAGTCCTCAATAGAACATTATGGTATCAGTAGCCTAATTTAAGTATTTTCTTTAACAGAAAAAGCATGGTATGCTTCAGGGTGTGACAAACTTGTGATAGGCCCTTTATATCACTCCAGTGATTGTTTGACATGTGGAAGGAGAGTGTAGCTGCTCTCTAGAAAGTCAACACAGAGGAAACATGCCTGTAGGTTACCCTGGTTGAGAGTGGTAGGTCGAGATTCCCCCATGTTTGAATGTTTCACCTTGAAAAACAAACGTCAAGCTAATGATCAATGTCCAAGTTTAATTGAATTGAGTGTTTTCTGTTATAGCGGGTAAACAAAACTGATATTACATAGAATCCTATAGACTCAACTCCCACTTATGCAAGTTTGGGCCTGTTATCACTCTTTGCACAAACTCCTTAAGGTTATGTACACAAGGTGAAAAACAAGATAAGTTATAGTTGGAGGTTTGCAAGTTGCTTAAGGGTAAAATTAAACTGCAAAAGCAGATGAGATTGTTTTGGGGTTTTTTTTGCTGTTAATATTTATGTTCAATTCCTTTAGCGATCGGACCTCCTTGAGTACCTAAAGCATCTTTTGCAAAGCACCATTTTCAGTAATAAAATAGTGGGGAAGAAGTTAGTAGACTTTATACTTAATTTCACAGCTCATCCATTATATTATGTAATGATATTATAATGCCTTGCTTTTCAGCCCACTGTTTTAAACAACTAGTCATGTAGTAGCTATATTAGGATGTTGTGCCAAAGCACACAGGGGAAAGATAGTAATGTCTTTTATCTAGTTATTCAGGGAATCAATTCATGGATGTCAGCGCAGTATGTAGGACACAAATCTTGTTCAGAGCGCAACTCTTCTGTCACGGCATCAGAGGGTTGGACTGATGCCCTAAATTACCGAAGCACAATTCCTGGAAGAGTTAATGAAAGTAAAAGAGCAAAAGAGACTTCGCAGCAGCATCTGTTCAGTCTCCCATTCCATTTAGGTCTTTGTAGCTAATTCTTTCTGTTGAAATGAAAATTTACTTCAAGGTGGAAAGCTTTGAGCACGTAATATGAGATCAGCTTTGTTTTGTCCCTTGTTGCCTGACCTTTGGCTCTCCCACCTCTGTGCTGTTTGTGATCTCCACCCTTATGTTAGAATGCAGTTTAATCCTAACCCTTCCCGCTTGTCTCACAGCGTGTGTGGTTGGGCAGGTTTGTGGGTCAATGGGTGTGAAGGCCGTTTTGATTGTGCCAGCCATGCCGCAAATAGACACAGAGCGGCCGAGCTGCCGCGTTTAACACTCCATAGAATGATGACATCAAGCAGCGTGAGAACAGAGTGACCACTTAAGACACTGGCAGGCTGCTGAGGACCAAATCTCTGTACGGGATAAAGGTCTGGCTCTCTTCCCTCTTTCTAGTCTCCCAGGTCTGATTTGATCTAATGTCTGAAGTTCAGGGTTGCGTGTGATCCTGGCGTAATATACACCACCTAAAACTTCACACTACACATAGGCACACACCCACATGTATATGTTACTTTTACCATGGCTCCGAGATGACCACAAAGGAAGAATGCGGAGTAATTTCGAAGAGGTGGATTGCAGAGGCTTTTATGACCTCTAGCAAGAGAATGAGGTTATTGTCAGAGAATACTTATTGCCCAGCAGGCATCTCAGTGCAGAAGCAGAAGAGCTCCTGTGCTGAATAAAGTTCTAGTGTTAGAATAAACTAGGAGACACTGTGTGTTAGTGTCAGCCTGTTTCCTCCCCTTGTTTATAGTTGTAAATCTGAGGTTTTTTCCCGGGCCAAAAATGAAGACTTGCAGTGCAGTGCACTTATGCTCTTTAGGATGTTGAATTGTTGAGATTCAAAATGTAAAAATGCATATGCATATTTTGGGGGAAAAAACACCTTTCCCCTTTTTGAGCTGGAAAAAAATAAAATAAAAACAAATAACGTAAATCCTATATTTCCTTACTAAAGTACAAAGAGCATATAAAATGTTAAAACTTGCAATGCTTATGCAACCCCTTGTGAATATGGGAGTTTCTTCTTCTTCTTCTTCTTCTTCTTCTTCTTCTACTTCTACTTCTACTACTTCTTCTACTTCTTCTTCTTCTACTTCTTCTTTGGAATGCCAAAAGCTTTTAATGACTCACTGGTCTGAACTGTGGACAGACTGGATTCACAACCGGCTTAACAGAGTGATGTTGTGCAGAATGCAGAACATGTTTGCTACCGTCATGCTAAAATAAACAAGACCTCGTTGCTGGTTATTTATATTCTTTTTAGGTGTGGTCCTTTGGGTGCAGATATGTTTTGGGGCTGTCTTAATATTATGATGATGTGATGTACCGTACATCCAGCTGCTCCTTTATTTCCCACACCCCTCCCATTTATCTCAGGTTGGAGCTGGCAATAGGACGCTACTTTTGACCCCTGGTGGTTGGGTTTTGTGTTTCCTCCTGATTGTGAACATGTAGGGCAAATGTGCTATTTGCTGTGCTACGGAAAATGTATTTACGGTAAATGAGAAATCCCTTAATTATTTTTTACTTTTAGATTAGGGAAATAGCCCATTTGAACTTTGCTGAATATAATAATTTTCTTGGTAATTCTTAGTCAGGCAGGTGGAGAGCCGCTGCAGGTGGCATCCACACAACCTTTTGATAAATAATAATAAATAAATAAAACTTTGAATAAATAGGTTTTAATTTTATAGGGAGGGGGGGGGGCACAAGACAAGATTTCATATATATTTTATCTGATACTGAATGGCCTCTAGCAGCACAGTTAGATTTCTTTTTTTCATGCCTCATACTTTAAATGAAGCCTGATTCTTAAGCTGTCAGTACTGGAACCTCACACTGAAGGTCTAAGTCATTACTCTCATGTCATTTTTTTTTTTTGTTTTAAAATTAGTCTGCTGACGAACATGTGTGGATATAATATGTTTCGCAGTCTCATTAATGTGTCACTCGCATTCTCTAAAAACGCCTCACACTTGACCTTTAGCTGCTTCTTGTGCAACCATGGTCTCCTGCTGAAGCAGTTTACTCATCGATATTATCGCTCCTGTCCCAGTTGCAGTGACGGAGGTGGAGTGTGTGTGTGAAGGCTACCAGTCGGAGGCACTGAGGCGGCTGTCTGGAACCCTACCAGAGAACCAGTGCTTCACAGTGGTCTTCAAAGGAGCCAGGAAGAGCCTGGACCTGAAGTGCCCCACTGCAGAGGAAGCTCAGCACTGGGTGCGAGGTCTCCGCATGTTAAAGGAGCGAGTGGCCAGAATGAGTCAGAAGGAAAAACTGGACCAATATCCTGCCCAATTTCCAATATGCTAGAATAAATATAGCGTAGCTGAGGCAGCATTGCTATGGTGACTGACTCTGCTGTCACATGTACCGTCCTACGTACACAGCATAGCTAAGGTGAGAGGTAATTGCTCGACAAAAAAGCCCTGTCTAAATATAGGCCTGCTATCACTCTTAATTATAATCTCTCATAGCCAGAGGAAAATAGCAGTGTAGTGTTCAGGTAGATTATAAGATCTTCCCCGTTGCTCTGTTTGTTTCTCATTTTGTTTTTTCATTGTGAAATAAAACTCATGTCAAGTGCAGCAAGTGCTTTTCACTTAATGTGGCTGTGCAAGGACACCATAAACTGTCAACAGGTTAAAAATTGACATTGAATTGTAAAAGGCTTTTGCTTTAATGGTCCAACACAATGTGAAAAGCACTAAATGCATAAAGATGAGTCAGTTGCTGATAGTTATCGTGTCAAAAGGCTATAGCATTATCAGTCTGGAAAAACACTAAGAGACAATTCCAGTATCTGTTTTGGAAGATGATGCTTTACTTGACTCAGTTTCAAATCAAATTCATGTACCAAATATGCATTTTGTCCTTTAATTCTTGCTAGAAAGGGTGAGTATGAAAAGGAAAAATACAGACCCTTTCAATAACAGCAGGATAGAATAAAAAAGAGATCAAATATAAGAAAAAGGAGGTTTAGCAAAAATAACCTCCCTTGGGAAAAGAGCAGGTATTAAGTGGATTTATAACAAATAAAACCCAGTAACATTTGTTTGACTCTATGCTTTAGTCTTGCTTGATTTCTTAACTCCCTACACTTGGATTCGGGGGTACCTCAAGCGAGCAGATCAGAACAACGACGGCAAGATGAGCTACGATGAGGTCAAACGGCTGCTGCTGATGATCAACATTGACGTGAGCGAGCAATATGCCCGCTGCTTATTCAAGGTCAGAGTCATGTGATGTTTTAGTACCTGTATGCTCATTAAACTGCAGCACTGAGTGTAAAGAAGTGAGGGAATTACAGAGCTGTAGAGTTGTTGCTATCTGGTTAAGGAGGTGTCATTTTACTCGGACACCCTGGAGTCCAGAGTCTGTGTTCAATTACCAACCCCAGCAGCAAGCCAACCACAAGCCTCACTCCACATCTTTACCCCCTCCCTCTTATCTTCCCCACAACAAATCACGAGCCATTTATTTCTCTTTTGTGCAGGGATTACTACCTGCTATGTCCCTCACTTCACTATTATGGCAGAATTGTTAGTCTTATTCTTCTTCTCTATGCAGCTTACAGTGCAAAGAAGCATGTTTTCAACGTAGGTGCGCACAGCTGCGTTGAATTATTATAGAGGTGCTTTTCCCACAGGGAGTTTGATGCACTCCCAAAATAAAAGCGAACAGCCTTTGATATTGTCTATTTTCTTCTCTGTGTGTTCACTTTCTTGGCTCTTTTTAACACACACCTTTTCTGTGCATCTCAGCGGTGTGACCAATCTGGCGATGGCCGCCTGGATCACACAGAAATTGAAGAGTTCTGCAGGGAGCTGCTGCGACGGCCTGAGCTAGATGCCGTGTTTAGACACTATTCAAGTAAAGGTAGCGTGCTCTCCACTGCTGAGCTGCGTGATTTCCTGGGAGATCAAGGGGAGGACGCGTCGCTGGATCATGCTCGAAGTCTTATACTCACCTATGAGCTCAATGACCGGGGTAAGTTCTAAAAGCAGTCATTAAAGGACTCAAAGGAGGAACCCAAAATATTTATATATAAATACATTCTGAATGTGACTTTTGATGCCGTCTCCATACAAAAGAAATAGCGATTTAGCCTATCACCATAAAATCTGAGGCACAATCCTGCTGCTGTGCAAAAAAAGCAATCCAGCAGTGAGAGCTCTTTGTTTTAAGAAAGAAAAGTTGTGCTTTGTTTCGCTTTTCTTATCACTGAGTTATTATAATTCAGCCATAATGACAGTACTGATTATACTGTATGTGCACTCACTAACCATTTTATTAGGGATGCCTTCTTAGTACCTGTTTCGGCCTCCTTCTATGTAGCATTGATTCAAGAATGTTCAGGAAACAATCCTCATTTTTGGTCATGATGACATCACATAGTTTCTGCAGATCTGTCAGCTGCACATCCAAAATAGAAATCTCTCCTTCCACCACATCCTAAAGGTGCTCTTTCCGTGACTTTGAGTACAGTGAACTCATTGTCATGCTCAAGAAACAGTCTGACATGATCTGAGATTTGTGACATAAAGGGGCATAAAGGGATATAAGTATTGTGTTTGAGAGAAACATATTATGGAAAAAAAGCTATTTATTTATTTTAATCTTCTGTCCCTCACAATGGACATGGGGTCATGTTTGATTACAGAATGAATGATATTGGTTCCATTTCTGAAAAAAAAAACAAAAAACAAGGAAACAAATCTGAGCATTAAACCATCATTTTAACATGTAACCTATCAACATCACGCTTTTTATTAAACTTCATTGTGTACACCTAATACTTACCTCAACCGGGCTTTTTAGGTCTCATCACCCAAAGCATTAATAGTGATCAGGAATGGTATGACAGAGAGGCTCCTTGCATGAGTTCCTTAGATTGCATTATATATATCTATTAAAATATAGATTTAGTGTGCATATAACTCTACACTCTAAAAAAGCCTTGTAAACCTTGTATGTTTATAAGAGGTCTACATGAAACGGTACATTTGGAGCCTAGGTTATGAGTTGTGCCTGTTTGTAATTTGTTTATCTGTCTCTGGTTTGTGCACACCAACATTGGTTTTCTTTTTTTCCTATAACCTGGTTATGTATTTTCAGAGGCCCACCTGTTTGGTGGTTGTGGCCAGTGTTGTCCTGTTTACATGTCTCATGCTAAAAACCAACTTCAGCCTAATTTTGGTGTCATTTAAACTGAGTTGAACTAATTGTTAAATACAGGAAAAGTAAAGCTGAATGCATTTCTACCATATTATATATCATTAATTATGTAAATCAACAGGATAAAAGAAGAAATCAAACTTTAAGCAACTTTAGGCCTGATTCTCTTTCCACAATTTTGAGCTTTTTTTCCCTCCATCTGTCTTCTGCTATCTAAATGATGGACATGAAAACGTGAGGTAGTAAGTTCTGCTGTCCACTGTAAAGGACACTGAATAAGTTTTGTTCATGAAAACAGTAAAATTACTAAACATATCAGAGTTGATACTCTTAAACTGAGGAAACCTTTTAATTTTCTTTTAGCAATAATGTCATAACATCTGTTTAAAAAAAAATCGAAATTATCCCAGCTGTCATTTGGGAAAAGGCAGACTACACCCTGGATTGGTCAGTACAACTAATTCCCTTGACAATAATTACTGTAAACAAGAAATAATATTAACCACAAGATGAATGTAGTTATGACTCAACTGTATGACAGTATTTAGTTTCAAATTAAGACAAGAAATTATTCCTTAGATTGGATATATATATTTAATAGAATATAACGTTTTATAAACCTCGTATGTTATTGGGGTGCGACCGTAGCTTAGGGGTTTGGGAGGCGTATCTGTAACCGGAAGGTCGCCGGTTCAATCCCTGGTCTCTCTTTCCTGTTTTGTCTTTGTGTTCTTGGGCATGCCACTCCCGCCTACTGGTGTTGGCCAGAGGAGCCGATGGCGCGATATGGCAGCCTCGCTTCTGTCAGTCTGCCCCAGGGCAGCTGTGGCTACAATCATAGCTTGCCTCCACCAGTGTGTGAATGCGCGAATGAATGAATAGTGGCATTGTAAAGCGCTTTGGGTGCCTTGAAAAGCGCTATATAAATCCGATCCATTATTATTATTATGTTCATGAGAGGTCTCAATAAAAAAAAAAAATAGTACATTTGCAGCCTAGGTTATCTGAGTTGTGCCGGTTTGTGATTTGTTTATCTGTCTCTGGTTTGTGGACACCAACATTGTTTTGTTTTTTTCTAAAACTTGGTTATCTATTTTCAGAGGCCCACCTGTTTGGTTAATGTTGCATGCTAAAAACCAACTGCAACCTAATTTTGGTGTCAATTAAACTGAATTGAATTCAACTGATTTGTCTGTGAAGGTTCTCAGTCATCCAGGTCATCGTAGTCAAAGGAGCTTGCAAAGAAAAGCGTCTGGACTTCAAGGTGAGGCCAGGTTTCACAATGAACCCACCTGAAACTCTGGCTGATTGGGGCCCGCACCCAATTTCACACCTTGGCTCAGGTGATTAGAGGATCATCAGGGGGTCCTTTTGTCCCTCTGTGGGGGGAAACTCCCACTAGGTTTATATCTGGGACTCTCCACCATTTGACCTTAGAACTGAAGAAGCTTCTCGGATGAGAGGTGAAACGTCTTCAAGCAACTTAAAGAAGTCCAGACGCTTTTCTTTGCAAGCTCCTTTGACAATTCAACTGATTGTTAAAGACAGGAAAAGTTAAGTTTGATGCACTTATATCATAATATATATTATTAATTATGTAAATTAACAGCATAAAAGAAGAAATAATACTTCTGGCAACTCTAGGTCTGATTCCCTTTCCACAGTTTTGAGCTTTCTTCCTCATGCTGTCCTCTGCTTCCTAAATGATATACATAGGCTGATATGTTATGCCATTTCATGTCTTCCATGTATCCCTGCTTTCTTTTTACTTGTTTAAAGCCCTTCGTTATCCTGTTAAATCCACTTAAAGATTACAAACTGATGGAAATAAAATACCATTTATTACAGCTCAGAAGAACCTGCTCATGACACAAAATGGTTTCACCATGTACATGCTGTCTCTGGAGAATGATGTCTTCAACCCTAACCATGCCAGAGTTTACCAGGACATGACCCACCCCCTGGCCCATTACTTCATCTCCTCGTCACACAACACTTACCTTACCAAGGACCAAGTCACCGGTGCGAGCAGCACTGAGCCGTACATGAGGTATTGAGACAGAGAAGAATGCAACATTGGCCCTCAGTCAGTCTAGTGAGATATGTGCCTGTGGTTTCAAATGAATAAATCTGTCACTGTCAGGGCTCTAATTCAGGGCTGCCGCTGTGTGGAGCTAGACTGCTGGGATGGAGATAAAGGTGAACCCGTCATCTACCACGGGCACACACTCACCTCCAAAGTGCCCTTTAAGGAAGTCATTGAAACCATCGGTCAGTATGCCTTCGAGGTAAGAGATTTTGTAGCTTTCACTCATGGAAATTTGCAGTTATGCGTTGTGCTTACAGCTGTGCCAACCCACTGCACTTCTTTTGGTTATACACCTGACTCTGAGGCAATCCTGTGGTATTTTGTATAGTATTATACTCTTGGGTTTTGCATTGCTATAATGTGATCTAATTGCATTTTAACGGCTTAGCATAAGAGTTTTCCTGTGTTTCTCCCTGCAGACGTCCCCATACCCTCTAATCCTGTCCTTGGAGAATCACTGTTCTGTGGAGCAGCAGGCTGTCATGGACAAACACCTCCGTAGTATCCTGGGCAAAAAACTGCTCACAGAGCCTCTCAGTGACCAGCCACTGAGAGACCTGCCTTCTCCCGAAGTATAACAACCACACACATAGAAGCACAGCTGGACCCATTTGCTTTTCTAATAAAGTAATTTATTCCAATGGCATTCCTTGCAGGAGCTTAAGGGGCGCATTTTGGTAAAAGGAAAGAAACACACTCCTCACCTGGGTGAGCTGGTGAAGAACAGCAGCTGCACCAGCTTCTCTTCGAGCTCTGAAGATGAACTAGCCAGCAGCATTAAAAGCACACCCATGAAGGATCCTGCAAAGGTCAGTTCAAGAAAGGCTTGTTATTGAGTCGTGGAAGCTGTTAACACAAACGCTTTAGTTAATTGACCAATTTTCTTTGCATTGCCTTTTCCAGGTCCGTTCGAAACTGTGCCCCGAGCTATCCGACCTGGTGGTTTACTGCAAGAGTGTCCCCTTCCGTGGGTTTGGAAATGTGTCTGAAAAACCGCCAAATGAAATGTCTTCTTTCTCTGAAAACGATGCCCTCAAGCACATCAAAGAGTCTGGTACAATAGTGGAGATAATTGCATCTTGACATCAGATAGAGAAATTCAAAAAGTTTGCCAGCATCGTGTCTTTTGTGCAGCTGGTTCAGCTGGTTCTACAGAAATTATAATTAGCCCTCAACGTATCATGGCTTGTGGATTTCTGTCTTTTTATTTACAGGGAAGCTTTTTGTAAGACACAACAGCAGGCAGCTGAGCCGGATCTACCCTTGTGGCCAGCGCCTTCAATCATCCAACTATGATCCTCAGGAAATGTGGAACTGTGGATGCCAGCTGGGTTGGTACTCCACACTGAAAGCTACGCTGCTGTTCAGATGGAAGCAAAAAAAAAAAGTTTTTTAAAAACCCAGAGACGTGTTTTATTTCTGTAAACTTACTGTCATGTCACATGTAACCTGCTGACATCTCTGATTCCGTTAATTTAATCCCGTGTCCCTCCACTTTCCTCTTTCTGCCGTTAAGTGGCTCTAAACTTCCAGACGGCTGGGGAGCAAATGGACCTGAACCAGGGCCGCTTCCTCGCAAATGGTCGCTGTGGATACGTCCTCAAACCCAGCTTCCTGTGCAGTCCCACATCCAACTTTAACCCAGAAAACACGGGAGGAGGCCCCGGTCATACCCCGACTCAGCTGACTATACGAGTGAGTAACTGTTACTAAGTTAAGGGAAATGAACATTATAGATAGATAGATAGATAGATAGATAGATAGATAGATAGATAGATAGATAGATAGATAGATAGATAGATAGATAGATAGATAGATACACAAAAATCCAAAGAATTTAAATTCATCATGAATATTTTTTTAAAGCATATAGATTTTAATAACCACAAGATATATGTGATGAAGTTTTTCCAAAGTTTCGTTCAGATGTGCCTACCTGTTAAGGAGGAGATAGACGTTATAGTAAGATTTCTGTACCGCTGTTCTAAACTTAACATAAAAAGTAAGGAAATTAGTGTTTGGTTGATTATTTCTTTGTGGTAACAATACTTCTTGGTAATAAATCTTATATACCACTGGAAGGATACCACATTTGTAAGGAAAATGCATTTGTGGGTTGAGCAGTAGTGTTGAGAATGTGGGTTGCACTCATGAAAAACTTGCCAAATCTTCTCTGCCAACGCCAAACAGCTTATTCTGCTAATAACTCTTGTTTGGTGTCATTTGTTGGATTGGATAATTGAATTCTGAAGAAACAAGACATATTGGGAGTTTAACAGCAGTAAATGCTGGTTGAAAAATGTCATCCCATCCCACAGCAGTGTGCGACCAAGCTGGTTACCAACATGAGGAGTTAGAGACAAATAAAGAGACTTTCCAACGGTATACAGGGAGTGCAGAATTATTAGGCAAGTTGTATTTTTGAGGAATAATTTTATTATTGAACAACAACCATGTTCTCAATGAACCCAAAAAACTCATTAATATCAAAGCTGAATGTTTTTGGAAGTAGTTTTTAGTTTTAGCTATTTTAGGGGGATATCTGTGTGTGCAGGTGACTATTACTGTGCATAATTATTAGGCAACTTAACAAAAAACAAATATATACCCATTTCAATTATTTATTTTTACCAGTGAAACCAATATAACATCTCCACATTCACAAATATACATTTCTGACATTCAAAAACAAAACAAAAACAAATCAGCGACCAATATAGCCACCTTTCTTTGCAAGGACACTCAAAAGCCTGCCATCCATGGATTCTGTCAGTGTTTTGATCTGTTCACCATCAACATTGCGTGCAGCAGCAACCACAGCCTCCCAGACACTGTTCAGAGAGGTGTACTGTTTTCCCTCCTTGTAAATCTCACATTTGATGATGGACCACAGGTTCTCAATGGGGTTCAGATCAGGTGAACAAGGAGGCCATGTCATTAGTTTTTCTTCTTTTATACCCTTTCTTGCCAGCCACGCTGTGGAGTACTTGGACGCGTGTGATGGAGCATTGTCCTGCATGAAAATCATGTTTTTCTTGAAGGATGCAGACTTCTTCCTGTACCACTGCTTGAAGAAGGTGTCTTCCAGAAACTGGCAGTAGGACTGGGAGTTGAGCTTGACTCCATCCTCAACCCGAAAAGGCCCCACAAGCTCATCTTTGATGATACCAGCCCAAACCAGTACTCCACCTCCACCTTGCTGGCGTCTGAGTCGGACTGGAGCTCTCTGCCCTTTACCAATCCAGCCACGGGCCCATCCATCTGGCCCATCAAGACTCACTCTCATTTCATCAGTCCATAAAACCTTAGAAAAACCAGTCTTGAGATATTTCTTGGCCCAGTCTTGACGTTTCAGCTTGTGTGTCTTGTTCAGTGGTGGTCGTCTTTCAGCCTTTCTTACCTTGGCCATGTCTCTGAGTATTGCACACCTTGTGCTTTTGGGCACTCCAGTGATGTTGCAGCTCTGAAATATGGCCAAACTGGTGGCAAGTGGCATCTTGGCAGCTGCACGCTTGACTTTTCTCAGTTCATGGGCAGTTATTTTGCGCCTTGGTTTTTCCACACGCTTCTTGCGACCCTGTTGACTATTTTGAATGAAACGCTTGATTGTTCGATGATCACGCTTCAGAAGCTTTGCAATTTTGAGACTGCTGCATCCCTCTGCAAGATATCTCACTATTTTTGACTTTTCTGAGCCTGTCAAGTCCTTCTTTTGACCCATTTTGCCAAAGGAAAGGACGTTGCCTAATAATTATGCACACCTGATATAGGGTGTTGATGTCATTAGACCACACCCCTTCTCATTACAGAGATGCACATCACCTAATATGCTTAATTGGTAGTAGGCTTTCGAGCCTATACAGCTTGGAGTAAGACAACATGCATGAAGAAGATGATGTGGACAAAATACTCATTTGCCTAATAATTCTGCACTCCCTGTAGGATTTATTGCTAAGAAGTATTGTTAGAAGAAAAAGGAAGTTTCCTTCCTTTTTGTGGCAAGTTTATTTTTCATAGTGTCATTTAGTTCTTGTTATTACTGTCCATACTTCAATTTTTTTCATAGAGGAGAGGCCATCCTCTGTTGTTCCTCTGGAAGAGTTCCCTTATGTCTAAACTAGAGTCTAAACATAGAGCTATTGTGTGCTATCCAGATTGTCGGATTTTGCAAAAAAGTTGCCTCCAATAGACTTTTTTTTATACATTTCTAATGATAATTTCATGCACACAATGATGAATTATGTTTTGCTTTTTCAGATAATATCTGCACAACAGCTGCCAAAAATCAACACAGAGAAGGCGAGCTCCATTGTGGACCCACTAGTGTGGGTGGAAATTCATGGGGTGGCTATTGATAAAGCAAAACAAAAAACCCACCGCATTGACAACAATGGTAATATTTATTTATTTATTTATCCACAACAATAAAATTTTAAAAATACATTTTTATATGTATTTTTTTTTTGCAGAGTGATAATATATATGTTATCTATGTATATTTAAATTCAATGCAGGCATTTCTGTAAATCAGTGTTACTTTTATAATGCAGTGACAGGAGACAAGAGATGATGTCAGAAAGCTTCTTTGTACCTTATTCAAATCTTGGAATATATACTTGTGTAGGAGTCTTTTCAATCCAATGCCATGATTAGTTTGTTTGAACGTTTTAATGCACCAGATGGTGTATTTACAGCTCTTGTGCGCCCTCTGCAGGTTTCAACCCTCGCTGGGACTGTACTCTGAGCTTCCAGCTGCAAGTCCCTGAGCTGGCCCTGGTGCGGTTTGTAGTGGAGGACCACGATCATGCTGCCAAAAATGACTTTGTGGGGCAGTTCACTTTACCTTTTACAAGCTTTCGCATAGGTGCTTATTAAGATTTAGTCTACAAGTCAGTCTTCACTCTCGGATGTTCTTTTTAATATGTGTCATACTCTTTTTTTTTTTGTTTGTTTCTTCTCCCCACCCAGGTTATCGACATATTCACTTACTGAAGGCAGATGGTTCTAGCCTTTCTCCTGCTACACTCTTTATCCATGTCAAAGTGACTCGCAGAGGTGTTCCTGTCAAAACTATGGCTGAGCGTATTGCCGCTGCCAAAGGCAAAGCGTGACACACATCTGAACAAGACAATCAGATATCTGGACAATGAAGGACCTTGGAAGGAGGAGCTCCGAGTGTAAACAGACAGAGACAGAATGCTGCCGTTGTCTTACAGTTCAGACCCCAAGTGGTCCAGTTTGCACAAAACCACTTCCCAGTGCTTGAAGAAAGGTGTCTGTCAGAGATGGACACATGCCCTCTGGTGACTGTAATTCATAACAAAAAATGCAGAAAAAGGGACTGTTAGAGAGAATGAAGATCATTTATTTTATGTCATCATTTTATTTTTTAACATGTTTTTTTAACTTGAAGGATAATGATCGCTTAAGTAAAATAGCACTTCTTAAATTGATGCTATAACAGAATTGCAATGAGATGTAAACCAAGTGTAACTAACTGTGTTTGACAATATACATAAACATCAGTGTTTTAGATGTTATTATTGGCACCATTAACTGTGCTGTAATACAGATTTAATTTTGTGTCAGTGAGTGCCCCAGGGCGCCATGGCCCATCATGCCCAGGTACAAGTACTTGATACTCCAGATATCTGGGCACTTTTTAAAATTCTGTCTGGAAGACAAATTCTAACATATTCTTACATCTTCCAGCAGAACATGACAGACTTAACTTGCAAAGATAAGCTTTTTTCTTAAATGTGTTGTATTTTATCTTAGCATCATTTCACATATGTTCAAATGTGCTTGTTTAAAATCATATTTGACTTTTAACGATACAGTATTTCCATATAAGCTTCTTTCATTTTGTCAACTTTTGTCTTCGTATTCAGATCTAGAAAAAAATGCTGTTAAAAACTAATTGCATCAATCTAATACAACCACTAATTACTCCAGGCTACAGTGAATCTTTTAATACTCTTATAAGGAGGTTCACTGATAATAAAATGGTCCAGCGATGAAAAGTAATTACTGTAATTACAGTTTTAATGGTCACGCTGGTTTTTGAGAAAAATGTAATATGTATTTAATAGTGGGTGAAGTAAAACTTTGCTCTCTTAATGTTTAATATAGAAGCTGTGGGATGCGTTTGAGTGGTTATGTTTGCAAGAAAAATGTTTTTATAAAGCACTTCTAACAATTTTTTTCACATGCTGTCAAAAGATACAAGTGTCTGTTTTAGTTTCAAAAGTCCACAGTGTTGTGTGTGGACACCTGACACTTTAATAAATGCATAACCAGAAGGTTCTAATCTGTGAATTTTTGTCTGACTTTTCTGTGGTACTCTAAAGCTGTCAGCCTAAAACATGATAAATCTCTATATTCCAACATTAGAACTATCAATGGATATGTCCCTGCCTGATTAGGCCAAAAGTAAAGACAAAAAAATGAAAACTCTTAGCAATATTTATGAAATTTCACATTACACAGCATGGCAGCAATTTCTCCAACAACTGGACTTCTTTTGTTTCCGAGCATATCCGTGAATTATGAGTTAATCCACCCACTGAATATTTTGTGGTAAACTTAATTAAATACAAAAACACACACACAGTGGGTTGTGAATGTCAGTCAGCAACACCACAATGACAGAAAAATGAGGTCAGTATTAGTAGTTTTCCCCCTTCAAGAAATATGTTGCTAAAAAGTCTAAAATTAACGCTAAAATCATCACAGATATGTTTTTAACATCAGCAGAAATGGTTCAAAAATACACCTCAAATATATTAATATAGTCCCTGTTGATATTTAGGTCAAAATGTTGCATTGCTAACAAAAAGTAATCACACACGGCTCTCTGAAATAATCATTAGCAAATATAATCATGTTATCGTCTCATATGACTGCCACGATTTCTTATACTGTGTATGTTGCAACTCTGTGGGTATTTTGTCCAACTGTTGTTGCCGTAGCTGTAGCTCCATTGCTGTAGTAATTATTGTTAAACACCGTGTCACTACTTTTAATGTATTCATGCAAAACGTCAATAGAAGAATATCCTGTTAGCTTACTTTATGCAAAAACTGGGTTCTTTAATGCTCCTATCAGGGTTTATTTATTATGAAAATAGATTAGATGTGGGCCTAAAAGGTTTTGGCTGCTTTGGAGGCGCTAATCACTACGCAGACTACGTAAAAGAACAGCTAATGTACATTTTTACCTAACTGTTAGTGCATTTTAACTGACTTTCAAATAAGAAATATCAACGCCACAATGCTTAATCTGCTCAGATGGTCTCATTAAATAATCCACCTAAATCTGAACATGACTTTGCCTTCTTACTCACCCTGCTGTAATATTAATTTATTAGGCCTCAGATTATCTTGCAAGATTCACCATCTTGCACGTGTTTCCACTCCAGTGATTTCATTTGCCTTTGGGTTGTATGGGCGCCACATGGCTGTTTGTCTTTAGAGGGAAAAATATATTAAATACACAAAAAATCTATTTTTACTGGGGCTGTGAGAACTTAAAAATGGACGCTTTAAAACGACAAACCGTGCCCGCTCCATTACGAGCCTTCTGTTTATCGTAAATATTTGGAAATGATCGGGTAAAAAAACACGACCATGGCTACGCCTCCACTGCACGTTTCAGCCAATAGCGTCGAGACTCTTTTAAAGGTGTCAAGGGGCACGCGGTGGAGTCTCACTTCCTGGTTGAAGATGGCGGATGAGAATGAGACAGCACCGATGCCGGAGAAAGAAGATGTAGAGGATCACGCACACTGCAGCGACTGTGAAAATGAAGAGCACCACTTTGACGATGGGTAAGGAGGCAGGCTTACTCGGTCGGTGGCGTAAAATACGTCACGGCTCTGGAGATTTTAACAAAATTAACTTAAACTAAACCTCGGTGAGCAGTCGGGATAGACGGCCATCCTTCGACGTTGTCCAGCCCATTTTCTTTCATCCTATTGGTTAGTAGCAACGTTCGCTTGCTTGTTCTTTCATCCGATTGGCTGAGAAGGATGTCTTTTCCAAATATAGGCTGGACTTAGCGTTTTCCTAAGTATATGGTTAGAAAGGAGAAAGCAAAGTGCGTTTAGAAGCCAATTTTACGCCAAGACGCATGTTTCTGTTACTCATAAAACTTGCAGAAAAAATAAACTTTTAACTAAATTGATAGTTTCCGGTGTTCTTCGCATGCCGTTGCTGTGTTGACGGTAAATGATGCAAATCACGTTTGCGCCAGTTGACATGTAGCGTATTAGCTTGCATGCTAGCGTACCTGGCATTGTCTGTGTGTGTGTGGATTCGGTGCAAGATCAAAAGTGAAACAAGCACAAACGTGCATGCAAAAAGCACTCAGCTTAAACATAATATACCTGGGCCCCGGCGTTGTGAAGTGAGGGCTTTGAATTCCCTCTTTAGTCACAGAATTGTTCACGATCTTAAAGCAGCCTAGCTCGGTTGCTCTTACTCAGTACAAGCTTTGATAGAAACCCTGTTTTTGTTTTTTTTCTTATTGTATTTTTTTTTTTAAAGAGAGAAGTGGTGTCACATTTGAAACCGCGTGTCCGCAAAGCAGCTGACCTTTGTTTTTAGTAGAACAAGTGGAATAAGAATGCGTCTCTGTAAGATAGTTTTCGCAAACATCTGATCACTAACTGGAGGAAATCTGACTCCACAGCCACGCGTTTCCGTTTTTAGAGACACAAAGAAGCGAATAAAGCGAAATAAAGAGAAATAAATTAACCTAATGTTGCAGAATTCTACCTCAAACCCACGTTGCTGTATGGCTAAAGTAGGGTGACCATATTTTGATTTCCAAAAAAGAGGACACTTGGCTCAGTCATGAAGGACTTGCTTAAAGAAACATATTTGATATATTTCAAAGATTCCTTCTCTGTGCAGTTAATGGATTGTGAATTGTAAACTATGTCATATAGGCTTTTACAAGTCAAGAAGTGCAAAAAAAAACTTAAAAGCCCCTGAATTAAATAATGGTACAGAAATAATGCCTCATCTCTATAAGAAAAATTACCAGTACTGGGTCTGTACGAGTGAAATTTCTTTTGCAGTTCGTCTGAAAAGATGGACTTGCGCTTTGGGATCTTTTAAACAGTTGCTGTGCGCTGTCTGTCCCGTCTGTGAGCGCAGAACAACTCAGAAAGCAGCAGTTTGGGGATGATGTCACACACATGGGTCCTCTATTGGAATATAGGAAAACCCGGCCTTTTTTTATCAATCTCAAAAATCCCCCCGGACAGAACGTGAAAAGTGGACATGTCCGGGGAAAAGAGGACGGTTGGTCACCCTAGCTAAAGTGAAACATATTCCCCTGCAGGTCTTTGAACCTTCCTGCACTCAGAAACAATTGTTTGGCCCCTTAACTGCTCTACCCTGTTGAAATGGAAAGTGGGAGAACAAACCATTGAATGTTTTGTTGTCCATTGTTCCAGTCACTTGCTGGGCTCTTGTACATACAGTACATAAACACACACGCACAGATACTCTTCTTCTAGATGTCATCTGATTCACCATCTGTGCTGGTGTTTCAAATACAGGCCGCGTACTGGCCTGCATTTCTCCCCTCTTGGACACTAATGAGATTATCCTGTGTAAGTATGTTGCCAGAAGATGAAGTAGCTGGCTGGAGATATGTGGCTTTTCTGGTTGGAGCAGATCAGAAGAGAGGGTTATTCTGAAAATCTGCACTCACTTCTAAACATCCTGCAAACAACTTGGGAATTTCTGTATGTTTTAGCTGAAGGACTGGTTTTATTGTGTTTTTAGCTGCCCTAGAGCTACATCTCTTGTTGTTAGTTTAAACACACAGCTACTCCTCGGCTAACAAGGCTTTGCATCAGCAATGAAATGTAAATTGTGTTGGAATTGTCGGTGATTTAATAAGCTTGGGTGTTTAAAAGCAGATCGCAGAAAATAAATTTCCACCATGATTTTCTTTTCTTCTGAGATCAGTCTTAAAAAGGATGCCATCTATTTCTGTCCTGTTCCAGTGAGAGGGGTCTTGGGGACGACACTGGCGCCAAGAAGAAGAAAAGGAAGCAGAAGAAGAAGAAGAAATCTGGTGCCACAGAAGCAGCTCAGGACCCCCTTGCCAAGGCATGAATTTATGCATTTCTGTCTTAATGCGTTATAAACCTAACCTAAAAGGAAAGGAGAAACGGTCCAGTTAAGGTGTAAACTACTAAAATCACAGTTTAGATACAGAATGGTTAAAGACTGTTTAGATAGGATCGACTTCTGTTTGTTGTTGTCTTGTTTGATGTATATTTGTGTTTACTTCCCAAACAGGTGAATTCGTTGCCAGCTGATAAGCTACAGGAGATCCAAAAGGCCATTGAACTGTTCTCTGTTGGCCAAGGTCCAGCCAAAACCATGGAGGAGGCCACTCGGAGGAGTTACCAGTTCTGGGACACACAGCCTGTGCCCAAACTAGGTATGGTTACAGATGGCGTAGTTCTGTATTTCATGCCAATATGTAGCTTATAGGTCAAATCTTTAGAGGTTGATAAAAGAATGTTTTTGTTGTTGTTTTGGGGGTTTTTTTCTGCATGTGGACAAAAGTGGGCTTACACAGATGGTCAGTTAACACAGAGTGAACAGAAGGGAAAAAAGGCTTGTGCTTATGACTCAAGTATGCAAAAGCTCGGTACAACAGCATTATTTTGCAATCTGTTGGTGAAATGTGCCTGGAATTGATGATTAGGCATGGTTATGAGGAAGCTGCACATCTATTTCTCTCATTTCAATATACCGCAGATGTGCTCTTTTTGTTTGCAATCTGGTGAATCGGGAGGTCATTTGAGTACACTGACCTCATTTCATGTTCAAGTATCCAGTTTGAGATTACTTGACCTTTATTATATGACATGGTAGCCTACTGGAAACAGCCATCAGAAGATGGGTACACTATGGTCATAAAGGGAATCACACTGTCAGCAACAGTACTCAGGTAGGCTGTGGTGTTTAAATGTTGTTTTATTCTGAGGGGCCCAATGTGACCAAGGAAGCTTTCCCCACACTGTTGCTTCACTGCCAGTATCCTGAGCTGTTGGCAACATAAATCTATGCCGAACTCTGACCCTACCATCCGAATGTCACAGCAGAAATTAGGACTATTTTTCCTGTCTTCTGTTCTGCAGTTTTGGTAAGCTGAATTTTAGTCACAGTCTCCTGTTCGTAGCTGACAGGAGTGGCACCCACTGTAGTCTGCTTGAAGGTTTGACTGTTGTGCATTTAGAAATGCTTTGCTGCATAGTTTTGTTGTAACAAGTAGTTAATTGAGGTCCT